AATTATAATTTTATTTGACACGTTTTCCGCGAGAAAAATATATTTAATAATAACATAATGTATAGCGAAGAATGCAGGATGAGGTAAAAGATGACATGTTACCTTAGGAGAGTTACCTTAGCCTTCACAGGTAAATAACGATGCATTTTATAAAGACATTACGTTCTAATAACTTAATCATGAGTTAAAGTACAGTAATTCCTCTTATTATTCTATAAAGTGATTGTTTTAAAGAAGACGAGTGTTTAAACGCAATGAAACAGCTGTTTATATCAGATATGTATTCTACATATATTCGAAGTATTGCAGCATTTTTTTCATATTTTTAGGCAATTTTTCCTCATACAATCATGAAAAGCACGTACCATGGCGTATAAACTTAGTTGTTCTATACAATGTTATCGCATTGTACTTGATTCGACGTGTAACACTTCGATGACAGCGATTATCGTGTTTATAAAATGGCTGATCATTAAAAATGGCGCCGGAGTTGCACGAGGAATGGGCACGTGGCGCGATATTCGTTGATCCAAAATAAAAAAAACCTCACAATTATTCATCATCATCATCATCATCATCAGCCTATGAACGCCCACTGCTGAGCAAAGGCCTCTCCTCACATGGAGAAGGTTTGAGCATTAACCACGCTTGCTCAAGACGGGTTGGTGATATCAAACTTATAATTGTGAAGCTATAAGTCCAGGTTTCCTCACGATGTTTTCCTTCACCGTATGTCAGTGATGTCTAAATAATCTCAGAAAGTACATATGTTTTCGAAAAATCACATTGGTACTTGCCAGGTTTGAACCCGCGCCCTCGGTAACGAATATTGTGAATGTAAATTTTAATTGTAATATATCTATGGAATTATATTTCCCAAATATCAACAACTCAAGGGATTACTGCGGACGTTGGATTAAGGCATTATGAAGCTTGGATAATCCGGAGAAAATGTCGTATTGTCCGCCATTAGTAAATATACGCCATTACTATATATATTAAATTTTATCAGATCACTCTCAAGATGCAAACCTGTTCGTTACTTTGTATTAGCGATATCTGATGTTATTGTGAGCTCCATTAAGATACGTTCAAAGTAACTATTCAGTGACACGACGTTTGATGTAATGTGTCATACATATAATAATAAGCCGTGCAATTTATTTATCTTCCTTTTGTATTTCTATTTTTTTCTCATCTATCAGAAAACCCTCATATATGCTTATGCCAACAGAATTCTTATTTAAGACGTAAAAATAAAACTAGTAAGAGCTCAAAATTTATAGTACGTAATATATTAATTTAGTAGCTAATCTTTTTCACTTATCAAATTATCATTTTAACCTGCATGTACGTTTAGCCAGTTTCATTGTAGTATATAGACGATGAAAATTTATGAAATAAATCCATTTTAACGATGAAAATATGAATAAAGCTAGTGAGTAGTTGATCCAGAGTATTTTTTATGAATCCAGTTACCGTGGGAGCTCGTTGAATGAATGCCTGGTGTCTGGCAGCCAGCCAGATGCAACAGGTGGCCTTCAGGGTTCATCGTGTTGGTCGAAGTTCAAGTTCACTTATGTAACATTATGTTTACGGAGAGTTTGGATCGTTAATACCTTGTTTGTAAATATGCCGGCGCGTTTCAACCTTGCTTTATTTATTAACACAGTCGGCTTTCATCCGAACCAACTTATGTTGGAGATTTGTTTCGCTTTTATCGTGTACGTGAAGTTGGTCTGTTCGTGAGTTAGCTCGACCTAGTTCGTATGTTATACTAATGTTGTCCTTGAAACATTATTTTTGTTACGCTTGTTTTATTTGTACTGGATTAATTTCAAATAAGTGATTAAAAATGATTTATAGATCACCCGAATATAATATTAAACATACTGCTCTACAATATGTAATGACTATAGTATCTTCCAGTTAAATTTATTAAAGAAAGACGGTCAAAAGAAAAAAATGAAAAGTCGTCTTCACTTTGGAATTACATCACAAACAGATCTCGACATATTAGTAGGTTTATTCTTTATAGTTTCAAAACCAAATGTCCAAATTTATATACATATATATACTCTTTATTGTACAGTAAAAAAAAATTACGGGGTTATTTTACATCCAGAATTGTTGTTCACAAAGGCGGGCTTATTTCTATAAGAAATCTCTTCTAGCCAACCTACAGTTGTAAGGGTTTAGGGTGACATAAACCCAAATATTCGGGAAGAAAAAATTTAGGCAATCAATCTTATTACGATTTAAAGGCTATTGTTATGGTTAAGATTTCCAAGTTAAGCTGAATCTTGTGCAAGTTACATCATCAATGGGAACATGTATTTTATATCTGTGTAATATCAAGAATATAAAGTGGCTATATCTGATCTGCATAATACGGATCTTACATATTAAAATGACGAGGGCCTGTCAACGTCACGAAACATGTCAAACTGTTAGGGCGGGAATACATGGGTTGGTGGTGTTACCAGTTTAATTGATTTATTAATAATGGAATTTAGGGTAATATTTAGGATATTGTTTTATAATTTGATATAGTCTGTTATTATAATTAAGCTAATTCTAGTTTTCCCTGAAATTTTATTTCATAACTTATTTTATTTGAATTATTATGTTGAAATAATTTAAATACAGTATTCTTTATTTTAAGACGTGAAATAAGCATTTATGTGTTTAATTCCGTAATGTTTTAAATTATTATTAGCAGGAAAACAATATGTAACCTTATTGTGTCACAGCATCTTGCAATATGGCAGGATGCCAAATATTCCACGTTACAGTGCAAATAAAACATTTTATTCCTGTCATTAAGCTTGCGTTTTCCAATCACTTTCCGTCGAACCATCTCTGAATACTGATCATATTATTCTGCTGTTTGTTGGTAAAAGAAATACAATATATATTATAATATTTTTCACATCTTAACAGTAGTTTACTAGCGATTAATCTTCATTAATGAAAGCCATTCAGCCTTCTCATATTTATGGTGAAAATAAAAAGGGGTGGCACTTGTTGCATGAGCTTTACCCTTGACATAAAAACTAGGTCACCGTTAACCTGTTGCCATGGAAACCGAGCAAATGGAAGCAGACAACAAAGAAGGTTTTATTTTAATCCACTACAGAAATTGTAGGTTTTAAAAATATAACGGTTAGACATTATTGAATTTAAATAACGTCTATTCTTGTAGGAAATTTAATATAATATTCTATAAATATAATTTGTCGGAGTAAACAAAATCGTGTATTACCATATGACGGGAAGGTGGAACAGAATGTGAAGAATCATTATGACGTGTCCGCTGACTCGTGAAAATGGAAACTTAACGAATTCATTCATGGATATTATATATTAAAATAATATATATTGTATATCTGATTAATTCACATAAACTGAAATAATATTAATATTTATAATAATAAATGTTGAAAACATTATTAGAATGTCATCGAGATATTACTCGCATTATATTCGATTCGATTACTTATAATGAAACAAATTCTATATAATTATAGATATTAATTATTAAAAATTTTATATAAAAAGCATTATATTTATGTTGTTTAAGTGTTGAGTCCTTTGATAAATGTTCAAAATTTCGTCATAAAAGATGGAGTAGTCAGCGTGACGTTATTACGTTGAGCGAACCATGCATTAATATTAGGTATTATTATGTAAGCTGTATTATGAAATTCGCCAATATAAGTTTAACATGTTTGATTTTATACGGAGATAATTGATTATTGCCTGTAATTTCTGTATGACGCTAAAATGAGTTACGAGTCGGGTCAAAACGTGAGAGATCATACAACACGTTCGGTGAGGGTAGATTGAAAAAAACATATGTAACTTTTATTATTATTAAATTAAAACAAATTAATATGTTTAAATGAAATTACTTATGAATATTTAATGACTTCGTAACATATATAAATTATCGAAATTAAAAGTTGACAAACTGCATTTTGAGATTTAATCATACAAATTTATAGTTTTTTTTTAATGTTTTAACAATTTATTCATTATTGAGACGCTATTTGCTATCAAGTTTTTCTTTATTTTCGATATTTAAAATTAATTCTCCCGCTTTTATTACAAAAAAAACATCAATTTATTAAAATATATGTCATATTAATTCAGATATCGTAGCTAATGGAAGTCCATTTTCTATTTATAAGCGTTTACCGCGAAGCCATATTTAGTAGATAAAGTCAACATTCTAACAACGACAGGCTTACACCTGCTCTAGTGGACCGGTCGTTATAAAATACTTCTAATATATTAGGAATGCTTGTTTATTGGTTGAAAAAAAAACTAGTCGAATCCCGTCCCACGAGGTCAGTGTGTCGGGGCGATGAGAACGAAAGTCATGATGAAGATTATAGCAAAAACTTGTCGGACGATTCAATCTGTTAGATAATATTTGATTATTAAATACGAAGAGCTTAGTATATTTAATAAAACTCGTCTATACAGGGTGACTGGTGAATTACTATCGATATTTGAGGACGTGATATTTGACGATCATATATGACAAAATAAAAATTAATATAACATAAATATTAATAAACTTCTAAGTAAAGTTAACCAAAAGTTATGTAATTAATTACGCATCGTGTGAACACCCTACAGATTAGGTATACACTGACACTCACACATACGCATGTCGTGACGTGGTGTTGTATCAGCACGTCGCCGCACGCGTCCACACTTGAACACTTGGAACGTGTCAACACTTTACTTATTTATACGGAAATTTTGTCAAAAATTAAGTGCCTATTTTTTTACATAATTCGAATGAGAATCATGTACCGAGTATGCTCCTTAAATATTGATAGTAATTCACCAGTCACCCTGTAGAATGATGAAAAATATATCATCGATAAATTCTAATATAATGGCCATTGTCCACAGGTCTCAGTGTTAACTGGTTATGAAGATCATGTAGTGGAGATTAGATATTAGAAGTGCTTTGTATAACAAAAATGGCCGACATAGACGAGATGAATATCGGCGAAGACGGCGGCTACGAATACGACACGACAAAAATACCGGAGATAATAACGGATGACATGAACGAGTCTGGGTACCAGGAGGGGTCGGAGAAGAGTTACGGAGACCGGCGGGATTCGAAGGAAGGGTATGGGGGGGAAGGGGATTCTGATAGTGGCGTTGACGGGGTCAGCAGTGGATGTAGTACAGTTGACGACTGTCCGGTAGTGTCCATCAATGACGTGGTCGCGTACTACGACATCAGACCCAGACGGCGGTATGTTCCCCAACTCAATTTCTACCATCTCGACATCGAGAGGATGGCTATGGACGCTGTAGTTCAGGTAAGTTCTATCCCATTCCTTAATATATAATATCAATCTCTTTGGTCAATGTACCAAAGAACTGCATACTAGTCTAGTCAATTAAAATTCAACGTTAATGAATTTAAATTTTATTATATCTAGAATATTTATTAGCGTCCACGGATTAGCTAATATCTATATCGGTTTTAGTTTTCTATAGTTAGTTTGAAAGTTATTAGAACTAATGTTACGCAAACAAGAACTTTGTTACAAAATGCTGTATAGATCCAGTGTATGCTGGTCTACCTTTCTCTTCGCTATCATGAATTCTATCGACGTTTTGCTCGTAATATTCTCTGAACTGGTAACTTTTGTTCTCAAATTGATCAACTCACAGACTGGGATCGTTTTCGAAATACTAACCTTTTGCTTTCAATTACTATTGCTCGTCGGAAATTGTCTCTATGCTTAATAATTGGTTATATTTGTGATATTTGTGAAGTATTATTGTGATTCCACTGATTATCTGACTTCATAATTCGGTTTTCGTAACAATTGTGATTTTTATAAAACATATTATTACGAAAAACATAATTGCTACATATGTACAGCATCTATTACATAATATGTATACATAAAACAGTTGCTTACATTCTAAAACGTTCAAAGAACTTTTATTTTAGTACAATCTTACAAATTGAATTAGATTGTAATACTTAATGTGTGTAATTAAAATTGTAGAATATTCTAGCTAAAAAACAAATCGAAACCATATAAGATTCAGTATTTTATTTTTAATGGCCGCTATTATTATCTGCGTCATATACTATGGCTTCTAGTTTCTCCAAGACACCATTCTTTATCTGAAACTCCGGGAGAAAATGCTTTTACACTTTTTATAGAAACTTTAATATGGATGTTAACTAATTCTTTTATTTTTTTCACTAAGACTCATCTGTTAATAATTTTAAACACACCCATTCTATTGCGTTTTTCCTTAATATTATAAAAGGCGTTTATTAAAAGAGTTACGTAAATTTCAATATTAAAGCAGACGTCTGGCAATGCAATGTTTCACATGTGATACTGGATTAAGAACTGAATAAAAATGCACTACCAAATAAATGAGATTTCTGAATTAGCATATTAAAACTGTTATTGGCCAACTGTTACAAGAATAGTAAATGTTTTACGTAATGATGCGTCTAGGAGATTGTGTTTTTTTTGTTGTTCCGTTACGAAATTTCGACATGGATGTAATTAAAAATGGGTTCATTGCTTCTCTGAAATATGATTTTAGCGATCCTCCTGTCCGTGACGCAATTCACTCCGATGAGAATAGATTGTGATTGCAACACCTGAAATGCTAAGTGTTGGTGAACAGATTTAAGTTTATAAATAGATTATTTTTACTTAAGAGTTCGAAACTTAATAAAATTACGCTCCTCGCTTTTAAACGTCCTCGGAACGGTTTGAGTTTTGGTCTTTTTGTTCGTTTTAGAGAACGGCAATATAAATTAACAATATTTCAACGTAACATTCAAAGAAAACGAATCTCTTTCAAGGTCAAACAGACTTTAATACCTCCACTTAATCACCGGTAGTCGATCAACCTGCCGTTTTAATTGTGAAATGTCCTAAATGCCGATAAAACGATACGAGATTTTGTGATTTATGTGCTTAGTTTAAAGTATGTTTTTGTGTAAAACAATCGAGATTTTACGTTGCTGCCGTAATGCATGGGAAGCCTTATTGTCGGGGATTGTATGTGCGTGATAAATCGATAAATGCGTTGGTGTGTACGTCGTGATTTCAAGGGCATATTAGATAAACACTGCTATCTAGTGGACTCGGGTTAAGTTGGCTGCTATCACTCCAACAGCCATCGTAGGCTGTTGATACAGAAATTAATTAAAATTCAAATAGAATGTACAAAAAAGCACCAGAACTACATACTCAGTTGTAAGGTTCGCCCCTGCTCGCGTCAATGATTTTTCCATTATTTTGTACTTGAATTTATATTCAACTATATATCTCAATATTGCCTTTACAAAATATATAGAAACATAATTAATAATTTATGAAAGAAAGAACAAATCCTTTTTATTAGAAATGTCAAACCTTTTTTACAGTGGTGATGTTTAAAAAGATATACGTATAAAACAAACTACAAACTTGAGCTAAGATTAAGAAGAAAGCAAATATTACCTGAAATGTAAAAACTCTTGTAATTTCATAAAATTTTATAAAGAAATGTATCGTTTAATCTTAACCAACTTATTGTGAATATTTCAAAAGGCAATGACAAAATTATTATTTTCATTTAAATACCTTTCAACGTTATGTATATTTATTTGGCTATATCTATTTTCATGACTTAGTACGCGTGTAGTAGTATATTATTATCTATATTATTAAAACAAAATTACTCAAAAAGTAACTCAAGTTACTCTTCATTAATTTAGCTATCTGCCATTGAAAGTTCTAATAAAATCTGTTCAGCAGTTTTAAGGTTCAGTTGGAACAAACAGACAGATAAACGAACCAAACAATTAATATAAAGTTTTTTTTTGTATATGTCCCATGTGTAGTATTAACACTCATATAAATAAAAAGCCTTTATAAATATATACGGAATAGATATGTAGTAGAATGTTATTTATTTGTATTTTACATATACCTTAATTTTATTATGGACTCCATTTAAAACCGACAATAAGCACAACTTCTAACCTGTAAATTTATATAATAGATCATATTTCTGGTACAATATTTGCTTTGATAATATTGTATATTAATTAGGCTACTAATAGGTATATATTTAGGTAAAATACAAGTCAATAATTGTCAATAACATCGCACTCGGGTCACACGTGTGCCACGCAATCATAATTCTATCATATCATCATTTATATATCATATCATTTGGATAAATAGATTATGCAAGTCTTGTTTAACTAAAACTGACCAAATAAATTTGACCTACAGATTCCTCAGTCATAAAAATTAAAAACTTAGATTAAATTGTGCAAATTGATTATAAAATAGAACAATTAAAATGATTGTTAATTAGTATATACATCTGTTAATTGGAAGTATGTGACATACATAATTAATTCGTGCGATACAATAATTGATTTAATTCTATTTCCATTATATAACATCTGGTTGAAGTATTATATCTCAACCTTTCTTAGAACATTATTATTGTATGACGTTTTTAATTTTTATTCTGCGGTTAGATCTCAACTGGTAGTGTTAATTCTATAAACATTTTTCCTTAAAAGTAATTTGAACCGCCACTTGTTACTTGGAATTGTATGAAAAAACATCTTAATTGTTAACGTAAATACATGTTGACTAGACATGAATGTGATGGTCATGTTTTACAAGTGTTTTGTTTATTTCATGCAAAAAAAATATGCGAAAGTAACTCTGTCTGTCTGTCTGTTACGCTTTCACACCTAAACCACTGAACTGATTTTAATAAAATTTGGTACAGAGGTAGAGTTGACCTTGATATAGAACATAGGATAGTTTTTATCTCAGACTTTTGAAAGGTTCTCTTGGAAACGCGATATAACCGAACTCCACGCGGGCGAAGCTGCGGGCGGAAAGCTAGTATAGAATATATTCAGTTGAATGGATGATACTGTTAAAATTTTCGTAGTTTTTGTGGATGTTCAAATACAAAAAAATATTATATATTTTATAAGAACGATGATGAATGGCGCCAAAAAGATATACATCTCAATATCTACTACTAAAAACGTCTTTATATTGTAATTGGAATATTTTTTCTATGCTATGTATATAATCTAAGTTTATTCTAAGACCGGGAATGGTCTCTGTATGTTTTAGTTACCGATAGCGTGTTTCTCCTTCTTCTGAGTAGGACCTGTTTTACGATTGTAGGGTCAACGCCTTTCCTTAACATAGCAATCGGGTAATGGGGTAATGCTCCCAGTTTATGTATTAGAATATATACACAGAAATAAGGAATGGAATACTAATATTAACTTTAACATTTCGTCTTATTAAGATTCTGATAGGTTTTAAGTTTTATAGAAGTTGTTTTATGATTATCGTATAAGGAAGGTAAATGGAAAACTATATTGCATCTTCGATAATCATTCCAACATCTATTCGATATTAAGTATTATTAATCAATTTATTTTGTTTCTGATAACATTCTGAATGAAATCAATGCTTTAACTTCATCAGAATGAAAAGCAACTTTAAGTGTTTGAAATTTCGTTTTGGATGAAGTCACATTTATTTAAACTGCATCCCAAATGAATGTTTTGGAGATACGATTGTTTTAACGCCTATACATAATGTTCACAATACTTCGTGTATACTTGGTGGTGTGAATCACGTTTTTTGAATTATTACAACTCAGCTCGTGATGTCGTTTGTCAGACCCTTTGGCGGATGTGGTCATAGAATTATACATATAAACTAGGGTATATTAAATTTAATTCAATTTCATTCATATAATATTTCATATAATCATTCATCTTCTTCTTCTACCTGGCAATTTCCCAGCTTTTAGCCAGGGTCTGCCTTACATGTTGTGAATAGTTTTGGCTAATTGTTTTTACGAACGGCCACCTGCCTGACATCAACCCTCTTTGGGAAATTATAATCATTCATATACTAATGAAACCAAAGACTATATTCTTTTTTTTATATCCTATTTTGCATATATTTTACTTCCTATATTTATTATTAAATATATATTCATTTGAAATTTTTTGTAGGTTGTACTTTAATAAATAATAATACTAATTACTTTAATAATACTAATTTTCTGTTTATCTTGTGACTATACAACGGAAGTATTAAAAATCATCTCTTTAATACGTAAGTACTGAAAAGTTTCATAGTATTCCTCTAAGTAGACTTAAAAGAGTTACAATACACCATCTATCCTTATTAAAATTTTATTTTAATGACACTGAAAGATTTAGAAATATAATCCTTAATTCAAATTAATTATTATACAGTTACTTAAATCATTAACAGTCACACTAAATAAACTGTATATTAAAATGAAATAAATACGAATTTCATAATATATACTTTCAATGTGTGATGTGACACACACATATACATAAATACATATATGTGTAAG